AGGAAGGTGGGTGCGAACTTGTTTCACTTCTCGGGGCAAACTCGCAAAGGAGGTTGGAGAGCGAACTTCCAATGGGGCGAAACCTCCATAAACCGTTAGATATCTGTGATCAAATGAAATGACTGTAAATTTGAATAATTTCCTGCAGATTCATATGGCTTTTGGCCTGATCATGTGCTACCCTGGTGGAAACACAGAGACGAACCTCACGTCTTATTTCTCAAATATGAAGATTTAAAGAAGGTGAGCTATTTTCATGTTTTACTCATCAGTGTTTTAGTAGAACTACAAGTACACAAGATATATTTAATAGTCCGACCATTGTAAGGCGAATCCGAGTCTGTTATCAGGAAGGGAGCGGAGATTGTGCAACCATAAAACCCCTCTAAATAAATAGTGAGTAGTTGCACAAGTCTAAACTTGTAATGATTTCCATAAAAATCCATTTACCTTTCAGGATCTTTGTGGTAACGTTCGACTAATCAGTGAATTTCTCGAGAAGCCACTTTCAGATGAAATGATCCGTAAAATCGCCCACCAGTGTACGTTTGCGGAAATGAAGAAAAACTCCAACTCTTATGTCTTATCGGCATTTACTACAAAACCAAACTTCCTTCGCAAGGGTCAGATTGGAGATTGGAAAAACATCTTCAGTGAAGAATTAAACAAGCAGTTTGAAGAAACGTTCTTGACGAAATTGAACGGGACTGGACTGCATTTTGACACAGAATAACGAACGTCGATTGGTCTTCAACTCAAACATCAATTCCTTGTAAAATGCATTTTAGTGACATAGTGCTTTTATTTGTTATTATTCAGGCTGTTGCGTAGCTAAGGGAAGCAATCTCTTTTCTGTGAAGTTTGAGAGAGGCACGGATAGAGTGATAGGGGTGTGGTAGAGTGACCCAGAGTTTAAGCTCCACCCCTCCTCAATCAACATAAGAAGCATACGAGGAGAGAAAGCGAAAACGTCAATCACGTTGCCAGATCCTACCAATTAACTGTAACTGAAAAGTCGGACCTTACAACCGCTTGGCCATGGAGGGTCTGGATACGAGATTACAAAAATGTAGGTGGTGGGGGAGGGGGTGGGGGAGAAAGAAGGAAAATCTCCACCCTACCCATACCTTTAAGCTTATGAGAAGAAATCTTTCGCTGTGGACGTCAAACAACAGTACATTTTTCGACCACCAATAGTGCGCCTCTTATGGCAGCTTCTGCAGGATCTTGGTGATCTTGTTTTACAAACAGAACGAGAAGAACTATAACTCCGCTGAGAGCTACCAAGGCTCCTGACATGTAAAACGCTGGAGGGTACCCTCCGAAACTGTCCGCGACAAGCCCTGCGAGAGAAAAATCCGAGAATAATTCAAAATTTGACCGGGCTTTATCTCGAGAAGCACTAAATTCTCTTTACTATGTAACAAAGAAATACATGGAAGCCAATAAGAAGGATAACTAATCAGTTCTCAGAGGAGTTAAGGTTAAGGTTAAGGCGATATTCAATGCATACCTCCGAGAGCTGGACCAAACGCAGATACGATATTTGTAATACTCTGGTAGAAACCAAACCCACGATTACGCTGATTTCCTTTAAAACAAAACATGCATGCAACACACATGGCGCTGAACATGGCTCCGTCCGTACATCCATACAACAGGAAATAAAGCACAAAATAAATATATCGTTTAGCGAGCGGCAGAAGTAAGGTAGCAATTCCCTCCGCAACCGCAGCGATCTGGAAAAGAGAGTGCGCTTGAATCTTTTCGAAGTCACACAGACGGCCGATCACAGGACGCACTAGCAATGACGTAACTCCGCTGTAGATGTAGAGTTTAGAGGATTGATTTGTAGATATCCCTAGTGTCTCGCAATACCGAACCTGTAAAATAAATAACTTGTTGTAGAACGACGTTTACTCGCCAAAAAATTCAAAACTGGTTTCCATTATCGGCGAAATCATAGTTAGGATTCCACAGACGGAATCTGAGGGTAATTCAGCCGACGAAATATTATTGGTACAGAGTACCGGTGTAGACTAAAAATAAAATCAACCTGGTCCCCCTGAGGCTATTCTTATGACTCTCTCCCGCTTCATTGGCAGTTGATTGGCAGTCCATTTTCTCCAGCCCCCCTCTATTAGCGACGACTGATGCCCTCGCCGATCACCCTAAAAACCACACCATCCCAAATCCTCCTATCTCCCCTCCCCCCTCCTTACCTCCCGCAACAAATTTTTACCTAAGAAGACACTTTTGATTATTCAGCAAGACTTTGTTGCAGTGATAATTCTACAAAGCTCGACTTACCATATGGAAGGATGGAATGTAATGCCCGGCGTACGACAAACATGTAGCAACAGTGAAAATAACAAAACGTCTATTTCTAATGAACGACAAGTAAGAGAGCTTTTCTCTATAATCCTCCCCCGGAGCGTCGCGTTGATCTGTCTTATCATCAGGTATCCTGATAAAGACACAACTAAGGGGCCCTATTAAGGCCACAATCCCAGCCATGGCCATAAATGTCCCGCGCCAATCAAGTGTATCTACAAAAGCCTGCATTATTGGGCTCATCACGAACAAGCCTCCTCCTGGCCCCATGGCAACAAGCCCCAGTGCTAACGAGCGCCGTTTTATAAAGTACTTAGGCATCGTCAAGTACAAAGGAAGAAACACGAAACATGACCCAATTCCGAAAATGATACCATAGCTGACCATGATGAAATAGATGCCTGTACCCCGTGACGTCACCAGGAGGGCTGCAATACTGATTAGGGTCCCTGCGATGACAGTTTTAAGGGGCCCGATGCGGTTGTACACTTTAGCCACCAGCATACTGTACACACCTGTTCCAACCATGGCTAGTGATCCAACCAGTGCTATGAAAAAAGGAGAAGAGTTGAAGAAGAATTATATACCAAAAACCACAACATTTTCATCTCCGCCGATTAAGAATTGATATTCAAGTTCACTACTGATCGCGATTAGAGAATCTAAGTATTGTAACCGTTCAAAATCTGTCTTCAAATGTGCTTGATATTCATCTAAGGGCGCCACCATTTTGAAAACAACTCAGTAACCTCGCCACCTTCATAACATAACATCACCATCAGCTAGCGCTCTGTTTATCGCGAAAAATTAAATCATTGGCGGGGTCAAGGATACCTTTTACTGCACACTTTTAAGCGCAAGTTAAGACAATTCTGTAAAAGGCTTGGTTACTCTTTGGGACCTCAAGATGCTAATTCTTTGCTAACCTATCGATAAAACAGCAAAGAAAAAAACTTCTTCTCGTCTCCAGGGCCTTCCTAATTTCCTTGAAGGGAAAAGAACCCTGGAAATCTTCTGAGAACGTTTTGTGTCTTAAGGTCAAATGCAAGTCGAACAACCCTGATAAAGAAAAGACCATATACATATAGAACGGATCTTTGGCTAGAAAAGTCTCAAACTTTGTTAGAAAGGTGAAATGTTGGGTAATGGTGCCCCAGGGGTAAAATCCAAAATGTCCACTTTTGCTCAAAACAGTGCTTCAAAGTCAGAGAGGTGCTTCGAAGTTCTTAGGAGTAATGGAGAAAAGGGAACACAGATAAACACTTTTGGAAGTATACTTGAATCTTCACTAAGATGAAGAGAGACTTTTATTCGTCGTTTTCGGTGGACGGGAATAAAATGAAACAATAATTTTCAGGTCACTCAGGTAGTTATCTGATCCACGACGTATTTACAGCACCTCAACTAAAAAAGTTCCGCATACCTGTGGTCGCCTTTCCTTGTTTAAATTCGTCCAGCAGCGAGGGAAACAGAATTCCATAGCTGTACGTTAGACCACAGATGATAATGTTACACAAAGCACACACACCACAGACCAACCAAGACCAACAGGAGTCAGATTCGCATGTGCGTCTCACACACGAGGACGACTGGGAGCCATCTTGGACAACATTTACCGCTGACTCTGTCTCTTTCCTCGACATCTTTCTACGTAAAAAGAAAGGCTAAAAACGTCTCCAGCTGCTTCATTTACAATAATGTTACCTGCACAAAAGTAGTCATTAGCAGTTTCCGTTATTCTTTAGGATGTCACGCAACACTCCTTACCCAGATTGACAAACCAAAGATTTGAACGAACGGCTGCGAAGAGGACCATAGGCTTTGTGCAGGGTACTTATCTGAACCGTGCGGTTTTTTTTCTCAGCCAAATCGCGAGCGAGTAATTTGAAATTTACCCACAGCAACCTATTGGGTAATTAATTCAAGAAAAGGAAAACGCTTACCCGAAGGTGTTTACGACTGCTAATTCTGGATTTTTTCCTTATCATCGATCACCGGAATATAGATAGGTATCAGTGAATTGGTTACTGAAAATTAGCAGGCTGCCTGTGATGGAAAATATATGGCTCCTATTTGTGTCGTGTCATGGAAACTAAAATGAGAAGGAATATTTAGAAGACGCACCATCCTTGAAGGATTAGTTATCCCAATTTTCGGTCGAAGTGATCGAAATCTTGATAGACTGAAAACATCCTGAACATATGTCAATATTATTTTATTTCAAGTGCGTAAATTTGGTGAGATCATCTTAGTAAAAGTTTCTTTACGTGGTGCAATATTTGGTAACATATCTGTCGACTATTCTCGGAAAAGTAACTCAGTTAAGCCGGTTTCTACTTTCTATCGATGATTTTATTACGACGCAAATTAAAACGGAAAACCATTTCGGTTGCAAACTGAATGTTTTAGTGGTAAACTGTATTTTAATTCCAATATTACACTGCTATAGACGATCGAAGTAAGGTGATATCCCGGCCCCTCTCATATGATGAGATTCGAGTGTCACGAAAGCTAAGACCTAAGACCTAAGACCTAAGACCTCTCTAGAACTAAGACCTCTCGAAAACTAAGACCCCTCTAAAAACTTTTGGGCACAGGATATTTCAAAAGAAAGAAGAAGCCAAGGTGATCTTTACCACCTGTAGGAGCTACAACTTGGAGATCGTGAATTGTACTTGAGTTGTATACATGCAGGCTACAGAGCTGCAAAATTAAACGTTGAATTTAGATAAGTAAACTTTTCACTGCTAAGTTTACACTCTATTTAATTAAGAAAGAAAAAGTGAGCTTTCTGCTTCCCTTTCCTTATTGAATCAAATTCACCACGCATTAGTGTAGACAGGGCCTGAATTAAGGAATGCGTAATTAACAGTGACTTTGACAGCGCAGCAGAGAATGCTTTCGATGTGCCGAGTTTCGACCGAAAGGCCCTTTGAACGTATTCTGCTAGAATGAGTTGCCTGTTTTCAATTCAGTTACGGGAAACTTTAAACGCAATTTTTAAGATCAGTTTTTCCGATCGCGGCTCTCGTGGGTGACTTCCGGTAGTATTCTTGAAAGGACAACAATTCATGACCAGTTCAGTTCATCCTCTTTCACGTGGTAGAGCTTTTGTAACATTCCATATAAAATATTATTTTATAGAGAATAAGAGAGATGGTAAGTTTATTATCATTATTTATCTTTCAAACCAAATGCTGCAAAATTAGTGTGAAGCAGATTGATGGTGATGTCGTTTTGCGGCCTAGCGACTGCATTTCTTCCTGCAAACACTCAACTTTCATGAAATAAAACAAAGCTGTGCGTTCATCGAGATATGAAGCACTTGGGAAGTTTGGAGAGCACTCAAGAAGCTAGAATTGCTCTCAGCTACGCCTCGAGCAACTCTTACGCATCTTTCGTGCTCTCCAAACTTCCCAGGTGCTTCATATCTCGATGAACGCACGCGAACGTATGAACCAGTTGTTAATTATGACGTGCACTAAATGTCGATCGTCGAGCTCTCCATGGTAAGAAAACTGACATACTTGATCTGTTTTGACATTCTTCAATCAAAGCGATACCGGAATGCTTTAGTTGGTGTGCCGGACGATAAAACCAACTCGGAAAAAAAGGTTGCTTTGGCAAACACTATATGTTTGATTGAAAAATGTCAAATCAGATCAAGGATATCAGTTTTACTTGCCATAGCGTCCGAGGCACACACAAAATCCAACTTCTCAAGTACTCCTTCAATGTTCAAAGAGCCCTTGCAGTTAAACTCTCATTGAAAAGTAAGCGCGAGTCAGAGAAGAAAAGAGAGCTCGGCAATCGACATTTAATGCACGTCTTAACACTACTTAATACTATAAACATTCAGGCTCACCAACGCGTGCAAAGTGTGCTAAACCGGGAGGCCGGCAAACCGTGGTAGAATCCAGTCTCGTTGCTATTTTAATTAACGCTTTCATGAACGACAACGAATGAATGCAATATCGGCGAGAAAAAAAAAGGAGAAACTCACTGAATTGGCTCTGCTTTACGGCAAGGCGAAGTAAGCCTCTGACCACATGTGATGGTTTCGCGACAGTCTTCATATTCGATGACGTCATGCCCCCCAGCAGATCACTGTTCCATTTGCGGTCTGCATTTTTGGTGGCGTGACGTGAAGGCGATCTCGCCGAAACCAACAAGCAAGCACAACGATTCGCCACAACATCGAAATATTTCGTGTAATGCTAAGGAATTTAATGTTCAGATAGAGTGTCTGATGTTCTGCAAAGCTATTCGACACAACGCTACACCATTTGTGTATACGCTGTACCATTCGACATTACGCTGAGCCATTTCACGTAACGCTATACTGTTTAAACGTACGCTGTACCATTCGACATTACGTTGAGCTATTTGAAGCAACGCTACACCTTTTGTGCGTACGCTGTGCTGCTCGACATTACCCTGAGCCATTTGACGCAACGCTACACCATTTGTGTACTGTAATGCAAATGAGCGCTAAGCTATTTGTAAATTGAGCTAGTCTATTTCACAATGTCATGTTCCAACTCGACATGGGCGATACTTAGCAAGTGCCTTCGAGCAAAAAAAGCATGAAAAATACATTAAAATAATTATACATTTGGTTCGGCTCAGTTAAAGTACAGGATCAGAATCTAAGCCGGCCTACAGCCGTTCTTCCCGGCTGAGCCGATCTAAATGAAATCAACCGTGATTCAGATGCTGTACTTTACATGAACTTTATTCGTTGAATTTGATTCGGCTCGGCTGAAGTACGGCGTCTGAACTGGGCCTTATATGACTAAGCTTGTAAATAGACTCTGTGGAACTTAAGCAAAAGTGCCCCAACATTTTCTGCGCTACTCAACAGTTTTGTGGACGTCTCGGAGTATTTTTACCTTCTTGAGTTATTCTTCTTTACAACCAATATTAAAATGATGACTCGCGCTTTTCGATTACCGTACATTATCAAAGCCGTATTTATACTAGTAATGGTTACTTTTCCACGAAAGAGATCGACGCAGAAAGCTTCTATGGATGAAAACTTAATAATTCAGTAACTTTATGACATATTCATAATGAGAGTATAGTTTTAAAAGCGAACTGAATTCACTCAATGCGTCGCCTCTCCTGTCCCCAATTTCAAAAATAAAATTGACTGACCTTTGTTTAGAATGCCATGCATCCTATATATTGCGAATGCCGTGACAAGTTTACAATCGTCTGTTTCCTTGGGACCACAGAATTCCTACTTGGACTATTTCTTTTTTCCTTGTGGAAGTTTTTTTTTTTCTCATATGTACGAGTTCCTGTACGTGATCACGCGAGCGATAAACAGAAATTCGTGTCACGCACCCGGTTCGAAAGCCCTTGGTCAGGTCACATGTACACTTCTTATTGATTTATCTAATCTTTCTTTTTCAATTTGTGCGTGGTGTGAAGCTTTATGGATGGAGCAGATTGAAGAGAATAGCGTATGTTGTTTTTTTGGGCGCCTATAAATGTGTGAAATTAATTTTTGTAGCGGTCTTAACAATAGGAATTTGGGGGGTCCATGGGAAGTTTGCAGGGACATTCATATGTGCTTGTCGCGTCTTTTAGCCTACGTATAGCCGTACCCTCCCCTGCCTCCGTTTTACCTTGGCGGGGGGAGGGAATGGCTGCTCGTAGGCTACGGTTTTTTCGGAAAGGGTTGAAGGAAACCTATTCAGACAAATTTTCCCAGCTGTCATGGAAAATATTTCATTTTGCATTGAAATCGTTTTTCCTTAATTTTTGCAACTGGACTGAACTCGTATTTAGGCTTTTCGTTGACACAGGCTCCCTCGATCAATTATTTCGTTATTTATTCCCATTTTTTCACCAGATAATCCACTCTCACGAAAAGAGGAGCGACCGGAAACAAGACAATTTTTTGGGATGGAGTTGCATTAAAAAAAAGAAAAAAAAAGTTGTCGATTTAGCATTGCGTGTATCCCTCTTGGACGCGGTGAGCTGAGACGAGATAAGTCTGGTGGTGCAATAATATTAATGCCTTGTTTTGTATTTTCATGTTCTAATTTTATACTTGCTTTTCCTTGATGATGATCGTAGGTAGGTTTTTCTCTAACACAAAAGAGGTAAGAATTAATACAAATATAAAAAAAAGCCTATACCAACATTTTATGATCACATCGATCGATCGATCGATCGATCATTGTGCAGCGCGGTTCGATTTAAAAATCGACACTGATTAATTTAAGCCTGTTATTGTATGCTGTCTCATTTGAAGTCGGAATGGTTACTGTCTTTAGGACAAGTTATTGATTTTGTGAGTTCAGTTGACCTCAATTTCTCTATTGTTTAAAAAAAAAAACTGTGGTGCTTGTGGAGCTTGGGCTGCCTGTGATAGAACGAGATAATTTGATTTTATCAACTGAGTTGGTAGTGTAAATTGGTCACCGGTAAGCCCTCTGACGAAGAGCTCACGACTGAAACATCGGCCTCTAAAACTTTTTACGGTAGCCAATTCAAATAATAATTTCAACTCAGTTGAAGAGAGGGCCGTTCATTGAAATCTCGATTTGGTTATCTTTCCTTGAGTAAACTTTCTCTAGGGTGTTATGCAACACTGCGTTTCACTCTAAAGAACTCATGGTTACTGTTACAGTAATGGACTAGTCCTGTACTAGTCGTCAAGTTTTCGGCCTTGAAAACTCAATTTAGCCTTCACTCTATCAGCAAGTCCCTAGCATGCAAAACAAAAAATAATTTTGAATTGGTCTCATGTTTTTTTACTTTGATTTTTTATTAGGATTAGTTTTGTGTCTGAATATCTTTTAAAACCTCTGATGTTGCATAAGTAAGACTTAGTATCTAGGTGATTCGTGCTTGAGAAACAACTGTTTTGGCTGAAGCATTGTTTGCCTGATAAGTATTGAAGTATTTTCAAGGCTGAATGTCCTTTGGCAAAAGTGACCCCTTAATGGCAGATAAGGTGATGCATGCAAATTATAAGCAAATACATCTCTCATGGACGAAAATAAAAAAAATTACAATTTCAGGGAATGAGAAATGCATGTCTTGCACTGCTACTAACAAGGGTGTGCTCATAGGCTATGACAGAACTTCCCCATCAACAGCTCGTTTGGCATACCTCTACACCCACCAAGTCATTATTATTTTTTTTAACCAGTTGCAGATAAATAATTGACCAGAGGAATCACAACATGTCGGTGGATTCAGCTTCAGATCATCACAGGAGATGCTTTTCAGGAAAGCCCAAGCAAGATTCCTGTTGGTCTTGGGTTGTGTGCTTGGCATGCGCTGCTTCCAATAGTTTAGTCTGTGGAATTGTTAATAGCTATGGTATCATATTTCCATTTCTGTTAGAGGAGTTTCAGCAAGGGAAGGCTTTGACAGGTTAGTCATTTCCTCAGCATACAGACCTGGGCCAAGGGGCACTGTATCAAGCAGTCATCTTGTATTAAAACCCTTTAACTCCCATGAGTGACCAAGACAGAATTTCTCCTTACAATATCAATACAATATCAACCAGATAAGTAATGAGAATAAAGAATGATATCAATTTGGGGATAATTAGTTGATCCAATACTAAAATCTCTGAACTAACATAATAAGAATTGTATGGTTGACAATAAGGAGAATTACAAATTTGATCTGGGAGTTAAAGGGTTAAGCACTCGGTTGTCTTGAAGTTCCAAGATTTTTCCCCTTATGTACTGTTATTTTTTAACCTCTATTAATTAACCCTTTAACTCCCAGATCAAATTTCTCATTCTCCTTACCATCAATGATACAATTCTTATAATGTTAGGTCAGAGAATTTGGTATTGGATCAACTAATTAACCCTGAAATTGTTATTTTTCTTTATTCTCATTACTTATCTGGTTGATATTTTATTAATATTGTAAGGAGAAATTCTGTCTTGGTCACTCATGGGAGTTAAAATGTTAACCCTTTACATTCTAACATCAGTATGCATTTTCTCCATTTTACTGTTCTCTAAACATTTCTGACACAGATAATTTGTCTAACAATCAAGAGCTTCTTATGTTGGTGATCAGCTCCTTTATTCTCCTGACCTTAATATTTAATTCAGGGGTGATATGGTAAGGAGAAATTAGATGCCAGTCACTCTTAAAATAAAAATACAAATACAAATACAGGTAAGGATAGAAAGAAATTAAATTTATCTTTCCCACTGAAAATTTTTGTTTATTTATTTTTCCACAGCTCTTGCTGGTTCAATAGCAATGGTTGGCAATGGACTTTTTAGCCCAATAGTAGTAAAAGTGTACCATCGAGTTGGACCACTCAAGACAACCATAATTGGGCTCTGTATCTGCTGTGGGGCCCTTCTATTAACGTCCCAGGGACCCAACATGCACCTCATTTTACTTACTTATGGTGTCCTTTTCGGTTTTGGTTCCTGTTTTGTATTTTTCCCCCCATATCTTGTAATACCTCTCTGTTTTGTCAAAAGACGGGCTTTTGCATTGGGACTTCTGGCCACTGGTCCTGGTGCAGGTTTGTTTATAATGAGCCCCATTCTGGAGGCCCTTCTTGTTGGGTACCACTGGAGGAAAACATACACGATCCTCGCTGGCATAATGGCTGTAGCTCTACCCTTTCTTTGTACTCTTGGGCACATTCCTGAACAAGATGATGAGCAAATGCTTGATCAAGTTGATCAAAAAGAAACGCGTTGTAAAAGGATGTGTTCAACTCTCAAGAATAAGCGATTTGTCATCATTATGGTGTCCATGTACGCATATTATGCAGTGCATTATATTCCTCTCGTTCATATGGTGAGTCCAGTCCAGTTTAATTATTTTCATTAGTGTCTGGTTCTTTTAGGGAGCAGCTACGCACCTCTGTCCCCAAATAGGTCTTTCAGAAATTATAAGGGTGATGGGGTTTTGAAAGAGTTAAATTTTACAAGGATTCATGGGGTAAAACTGAGATTTTCTTCGGATATGTTGGGGGGGG